AAAAACCCAAAAAACCCACCCCCCACGTCTGTGCAGCTCGTTCACAGTCTTTCTTTGTAGTAGGGTGCCGTTTATTGGGCTTTTTAAATTAACTCTATTATTGTTGTAGCTTGTTCCCGTCCTCATCACGATGTCTCTGGCTGTAATGAGGAGTTACAATAACAGTGTACAGCCCATGTCCATTTGCCCATCTGCCCAATTATTTCTTTTGACGTCATCATGTTTACACTTTTGTCTTTTACCTCCTGCAGCGAGTTGTGTGTGTGTGTGTGTGTGTGTGTGTGTGTGTGTGTGTGGGGGGGGGAGAGAAAAAAAAACAGACCCTTTTTTTTTCGCACAATGGTCGCATTTCCTCTGTCTTTCGCAGTGAATAATGTGCTTATTATTTTGTTGCTTTAGTTTTTCGAGTGGCTGGTCGTTTATAGATATTGGAATATCTTGCTTAAGTAATGGAATTCCAGGTCGGCTTTCGTTCTGTTGTTTGGCGTTGCGTTTTCCGTTAGTATCCAATATGTGTGTTTTCACACTGACACCCGCACTCCATCCCCACTTAAAAAGAAAAAAACCAACAACCCCCAAAACCCTGGAGATCTTCCCCTTTCCTGTATTTTGTCTGCCAGTCTTGTTTCTTTACGCGCGCTTACCGGCCCGTATCGTGCTAGGCCTAATGTGCTTCTGTTTACTGGATCTAACAGATTCTAAGTTTGACTGATGAGGGGTGGGGGGGGGGGGCAATACATTGGTCCACCCAACACCTGAAGGATATGTTTAGTATGTAATATACTGACGTACCACTTCCTGTTAAAGAATGCAGCTGATGTCTTACGCCTCCATCGACACTACTTAGACAATCGAGGGGGCGAGCTGCACCTGTGGACGTCTATTTCCGATGTTTGTGTTACTTCCTGTGTTTTGTTGACCGTTGCCTCTGTGTGGGGATACTCCTACTTTCAGTGTTTTGTTTGTTTTAGTAGAGGTTTTACGGCGCTCGCAACTGCATCAGGTCATATGAGCGCCAGAAGATTAGAGGTGTTACAAGAGAGTAGCAAAACATATAAAAGAAGGAGGGGAGATAAGGACGATAGATGTTTGATAGGAAAGAAAAAGTAAACCACTCCGAAGCACCCGCCAACCACCCAGTGAGATAAGAGAGCGCCTCTTATTTTTTTCTGCCTATTGTGTCTTAATTTTCCTAACACCAAGTAGCGGTTGGTGTTGGAGAGCGCCACTGTTAGGTCTTTCTTCTTTACGTTCCCTCTGTTGTTTCTGTCTGTCTGTCTGATTTACTTTTCTCCAGCACTAAATGGCCATTATCGTGTCTATGTGGTTCTCTTTACTCAAAAACAACAACTCACTCCTTGGGGCAGTGCCACTGACTGTAGTGTCTTAAGGCCATTCCTAAAGGGGGGGGGG